TCTAGTATCCTTTCTTGTTATTAGCTCTTCAATAGACGACAGTAATTCGAAGAATTTGAATCTTGGCATTCAAAACTATTCAAAGAATTTAATATCGTCATCCATAAGTTCTTTAAACAAAGTTATGTATTCTCCTTCAGTATTTCTATGTTTCAACATATTATGTATCCAATATATCCGTTTCCCTTTTTTATTTAAATTATTTTCTTCATCCAATATAATAGCTATTATTATTAAATTTTCTTCAGACCACATTTTATCAAGCAGGAAAAAACACGCGTATTCCTGTCAAAAACTTGGAATCAAATGTTACCAAACAGAACGTAAACGTAAAGTAAACGCCACGTCTACTGAGAATGGTGGTTAAAATAATGGGAGGTATATGGAACGGAGAAAGATTAAATTATATAGATGGAGAAAGATTAAATCACCTAAGATTTGCAGATGATGTTGTATTAATCGCAGATAATTTACAAGATACAGTTTCTATGATGCATTCGCTTAAAAGTCTATCTGAAAGAGCAGGAATAAAGATAAACTTTGAGAAAACTAAACTTATAACAAATCTCGTAATGAGTGGAAATATAACTATTGACAATAATACCATACAACAAACAGACACTTACAATATCTGGGACACGAAATCAAAATAAGCAGAGACAATCAAACACATGAAATACAGAGGCGAATAGGCCTAACTTGGGCAGCATTTGGCAAACTAAGCCATATTCTAAAAAGTTCAATTCCCATGTGTCTCAAGCGAAAGGTTTATAACCAATGTGTTTTACCTGTACAAACTTATGGATCAGAGACTTAAACACTCACGCGAAAATCTGCGAATAAACTCAGAGTTACACAACGAGCCATGGAACGTGTGCTGAACGTGAGCTTCGAGACCACATAATAAACCAACAAATTAGGCAAAGATCAGGAGTTCAAGACGTCATCGAAAGAACCACGTCGCTTAAGTGGAACTGGGCAGGGCACTTAGCCAGAGCACAAGATGGACGGTGGACAAGACGTATTATGGAATGGAGGCCCAGAAACTATAAAAGAAGCCGAGGACGACCACCGACTAGATGGACCGATGATATAAAACGTGTGAACACTGGAAAGAACTGAGGGAGGCCTATGTCCAGCAGTGGACGCGATTGCTAATTGATGATGATATGGAACGGGTATGGAAAGTAAACGGAACGTATAGTGAGAATCGACCTTAAGCGTCACTTGCATATACTTGCCATGTCGTGTGAGTGGATTACTCGTACAATTATTTGTCACTCGTGGCCACTAGTTGGTTTTTTATCTGTTGTCGGTACAAATGACCCGAGTCAAAAGGGATCACGATTTTTCCTACACTTGCGAAGTATATACTTGTCTATATGCAGAGGCGTTTAAACAAAATAAGTAAATAATTGGCAGTTACTGCGACTTAATCATTTAGTTTGCAAAGACCTCAGGCCGGATTCTCACGACTGGTATATTTGGCCAATATTTGTCAATTGACTATACTTGTCATTGGTTTACTTGAGCAATTATTTGTCACTGGCGCGTGCTGGCCGTTTTCCCGTCACCTGTAGGTAAATCTCTACAAGTCAAAGGGATCGCCAGTGTCGCGTACACTTGACAAGTCTGTACTGGTCTATATTTGTGTTTGTATTCACACGATGCGTCCAAACATTGTTTTTGTAGTTCGCTGCTTCTATTCATTTTGTATTTAGAAGCCGGTGGAAAAGATGTGCGGTCAAAAATGCGGTTGTTAATCATATTGGTGTATTTGTTAAATTTTCTTCTTAAGAACAGAACAATTACTTTCAGTACCTTAGAAAAGATCAAACTTTAAGACTAACTTCTCCACTGGAAAATAAAATTCAACCAAAAAATATAATATTTTCTTCTAGATTCTCTAATAATGGCATATGTATGCACTTACTCAATAAACAAATGGTGGATAATTTTGTAAATAAATCCATAGTCAGAGCAAGAAAGTTAGTTACACCAGCGGAACGACTATTCTCTCCAACGTATGCCCTACAATACTGCACGACTTGTAAATCAATGAGTTACGAATAAACGAAACACGATTAAATCGGTGTAATTCCTGTTTCTCCTATGATATTCTTAAAAATTAGTGCCTCTATGTCGAACTCAAATCACATTCTTGATTTTAGAAGACAAATATATATATATATATATATATCATTCCATAGTCTAATATACATTTTTTAATGTTTGCAACACAATACATAAAACTACTTAGTATGCTATAACTACAAGAAGTCAGGTCACAGAGCATTACAGTGCTCCGAACTACTAACTCAATTAACCCACCACGAAAACAATGAAAAACCTTTATTCAGCACAACAAATATCTTTGCAAAAACTTAATAAAGCAAACCCTTCTCAATGTGAACAAGTGTCTATTTCTAACGAACCAAAGATAACGAACAAAATGGATAAATCAAATAAGGATAGGCTCATAACTAATCAACCAAATTATAGAATTGATAAAATTATTTCACTTGAAGCAGATCCATCTTCTAAGTTATGTAACATTTTTCCAATACATTAATCAAATTAAAAGTTAAAAAACTAAAGTTAGTCAACGCTTCTTTCTCAGTATCTCACTTACTCGAACCTAATAAAAACTTTATAGAAAATCACGCTTTATCTTTCACTATAAACTTTGACTAACTAACCTGCCACTAATTAATACTACTGGATCAACAGATCCTATAAGCGTGACTTCAGAATAAACCACAGCCCTACTAGCCTTGACCGATACATCATCAGTGGCGTTACAGCTCTTTATGAGCCAAAGCCTTCTTCAGAACAATCCTCCATTCGCCCCTGTCTCTGGCAACTCTTCTCCATGCTCTAATTCCGATAGACTTCAAATCATTTTCTAGTTTGCCTAGGTACCTAAGTCTCGGTCTTCCTCTTCTTCGTTGTCCGACCGGTTGACTCTTCGGTCCAAAACTTTTCTGACCATGGCCTCTTCCTCTCGTCTGATTACATGACCTATCCATCTGAGGCGTGCTACCTTAATGAATTTTACAACGTCAGGTTCTCCAAATCTTCTATACAACTCAAAATTGTAACACCTACGCCACAAACCTTGTTCTTTTATGCCTCCATATATTCGTCTTAGTATTTTTTCGCTCAAAACGTTTGAGCAATTCTTAGTTATTCTGTGTTAGTCTCCAAGTTTCTGAACCATATGTTAGCACTGGTCTTATTAGTGTTTTGTATACAGTCAGTTTAATTTTTCTAGGCATTTTTGAGGCCATCTGTCTTCTTAAGCCATAGTAACACTTATTGGCGAGCACTATTATTCTTTTGATTTCTTCACTGACGTCGTTATCTTTGGTTAGCAGCGACCCTAAGTATATGAAGGTCAACACCTATTACTATTCGTTTCATCAATTACTATTCGTTTAGGTGTCGGTTTGCTTGACCTAGTGCAACACATATATTTGGTCTTTTGAACATTTATATTTAGTCCCATTCTGTGTGCAGATGCTCTTAACGACCGAAATGCTTCAGTCAGAGATTCTGTGGACCTACCTATGATGTCTATGTCATCTGCGTATCCGACAATTTGTACTGATTTGTTAAAGATTCAGCAGATCTATCTTCAAGTTATGTAACATTTTTCCAATACATTAATCAAATTAAAAGTTAAAAAACTAAAGTTAGTCAACGCTTCTTTCTCAGTATCTCACTTACTCGAACCTAATAAAAACTTTATAGAAAATCACGCTTTATCTTTCACTATAAACTTTAACTAACTTAACCTGCCACTAATTAATACTACTGGATCAACAGATCCTATAAGCGTGACTTCAGAATATACCACAGCCCTACTAGCCTTGACCGATAACGTTAGTCAAATTCACCTCCATTTACAGAAAAGATACATAAAATGCAAACTCACATTTATAAGGAAAAAATGATCTATAATTAACTTAGTAATGATGCATCGGACTGAGACGGTGATACATCTCAGTTTCTCCTCCTCATTTCTTAAGCCCTTGTCAAGGCGTGGTGACGCTCTATATTATTAGCTTGCTGTCTCCATTGGGATCCTGTGCCGTATGGACGGCTTCATATAGAATTTTTCCACCAGAGTCTTCATTTGGTCTGCCCATCGTGATAATGATCTTTCTCTTAGTGTTCGGCCTTTTACCTTCCTTCTACTACCAATAGTTCCATTGTCTACGTCCTTCTAGCTATGTGGCCGAAATAAATTGGTATGCTAGGTTTACTTTTTTTAATAGTTATATGACGCTCTTCAAGAATGGACAAGTTGATTCTATTTTCTGACCAGGACACGCGCTATAATTCCTCTATAGACCCGCAATTCGAAGACTTTGATCTTAGTTTTATTGATTTTTTAAGAGCCCTTATGTTTCAGCTGCATATGTAGCAATGGAAAAATGAGGGCATTGACCAAGTTGAGCAGAGTAACATTCATTTTAATGAAGACAACATTAAGATTCAAGTCTCTACTTCAATGGAATATTAAAGGTATTTTATTTGCAACGTTTACTTACGTTTCAGTTGCCAAGTAACGAACAGCGATTTAAAGGATTTATCTGATCAGATACCATCCTCTCGCATAATTGGGAATAATTTTAATAGTTATCATATTATTTCGGGCTCTTCTTATACCGATAATATTAGAGGAAGAATTGTTAAAAATATAATTTCAGATCTTCAAACTAAGATAGTCCTAATTGTACATGGTTTGAACGGTTTAAATAATGTAATAATACATATCTATTTTAAGAACAAAAAAAATTCATTATTTTGAAATTCACACCAACACCTAAATATTCAAATTATTATGTCAAGTTCACTTCCATTATCAAACATGTGTGTCACACATTTTTGAGGTAATTGTTTAATTAGTTTTATTTCGACTCTGTTTAATTAAAATAGCAAAAAGGAAGTAACAATTAACAATATAGCAGTTTTTTAAATGTTATCTGAGAACTATTCAGACTGAGAAAACTAGTGGAGTGAACAATGTCGACGGGATTGACGATTTTGTGTTTGTTGGTTTTTCAAAGTGTTGGTTGGATCTCCTCTGCTTTGACTGGCGAGCTTAGAATTGGTAAGTTTTGCATTATCTAAATAATTGATAAATAATAAATAAATATAATATAGGTATCCAAAATAATAAACAATTGTTTGTTAGTAAAAAAAGAAAGCAAAAATAATTTATTGAAATCAAAGCTACCTTTGGTATCAACCAATCGAAGGGTATAAATGCAAAAGTCACATTCTCCACTTAAAATTTTGTAGATATAGAGAAATGAAATAAAAATGTCTACCAAAGTAGACAATTATATTACGAAGTCAACTGTAACGAATTTTTTGTTTACGTTTAGAAAATAACTTAATAATGGATTTTATAAAGATAAGGTGGGAAATACACCTCTGAATACAACAAAAATGACTTATTAGTTTGGATAATGTTACTTTTGGTACCAACCTTTGGAAAATGTGAGGTCTGCACTGTAAGAAGGTGAAAACAGTTATTTTTGAAACCAAGCTTAATGGGAATGTTCAAATAAAAAAGTTCCATAATACTTTTGCGAATATTTTACGAATATAATTTAGTAATAAGAAAATAATTTTTTTTAAACTTGTTTTATTTTGCTCAAATTTTACTTTAAAGTATAAAACTTGTCAATAAAAAACTAAATTTGGAAAAAAGTATCTCATTAACAGCAAGGTACATCTTCTTCTTGCAACTATTTTTCTAGATCGTCTAACACATGCTTGTAAAAATGTAATTCATTCTTATCTCTATAATCTTTCTCCACTTATCTCCATAATGTTTCTTTAAAAGATAATTTACGTCGTCTTACTTTTGGGGTTTCGCTATACAATTACCTTTAGCAATAGATCCGACATAAATTCGGACCACAATCCACTTATCGCCAAATGAAACTTAGTTTAAAGAAAGTTCAAAGACCAAAAATTACGAAGTACGATATTAACCAACTGAAAAATAAAACAGTAAAGGAAAAGGTACAAAATGCCTAAAAGAAAAAACGTGGGCTCGTACAGAAAAACCATGGGCTCGTACAGAAATAGATAACACAGATGTAGAACTAGAAAATTTGCACAAAGTAAGTCAAGAAATAACAGAGAAATACTTAAAACCTGAAAGAACAAAGAAAAAGGAATGGATGACGGAGGAGATTCTATGTATAATGGAAGACAGAAGAAACGCCAAAGATAATAAGAATTACTACAACAACATAAATAACGAAATAAAAAGGGCTATTAAAATAGCAAAAGAAAATTGGTTTAGCTCGAAGTGTACAGAGATAGAGTCATTACAACAAAAACATGATTCATTTAACCTCCATAAAAAGATTATAGAAGCGGCAGGCTTATATAAACACAAGAACACTGGATTCCTGACAGATAATCAGGGAAACATAGTACTGGAAATAGAGCATAAAAGGGATATTTGGATTAAATACGTGGAAAAAACTTTTGAAGATGTACGAAGTAACACTGGTATTACAACAAACACCAATTGCGAATCTGGACCACCATTTACAGTCGAAGAAGTAAAATATGCCATCAAAAGCACCAAAGATGGTAAAGCAGTAGGCCCTGATAATTTTCACTCAGAATACTTAAAACTTATGGACTATGATGGCATAAAATGGTTGACAAATATATTTAACAATATATATATGATACAGGCATAATTCCCCAAAAATAGTTAGTGTCAACTTTTATAAATCTTCCAAAAAAACCCAATGCGAGAAAGTGCAAGACTATAGAATTATAAGCCCTATGAGCCATTTACTTAAAAACATTTCTAAAGGTCATTCACAAAAGGAATATATACAAAATGTGAGGTACAACTAACAAGAACACATTCGGATTTCGTGAGCTTGAGAAACGGAGACCCTTTTGCTGAAGGTGTATTTTAAGATGCAGGATGTGAATTGTGACATATACGTATGCATTTATAGATTACCAGAAGGCATTTGACAGCGTAAAACATGACAAATTAATGACTCTAATGCAAGACATTGGAATTGACAACAAAGATCTTAGAAATAGATCTTAGAGAAGAACGACTTAGAGAAAGTTATAGAGAAGCGAATAAAGCTGTCAAGAAGGCAGCAAAGAAGACAAAAGAAAGTGGGCAGAAAATCTTGCCGAAGAAGCGCGAGTCGCCGATGAACATCAAAACATGAGACAATTATATAATATCACTAAACAACTAGCCAATAAAAGATATACTACCCACCAACCAATTGTAAAAAGTGCTAGAGGTGAAGATATTACAGCGCCACAGAACAGTCAAAAGATGGCATAAATATTTTTAGCGAATCTCTAAGTGCAGTCCCAACACCACCAGAAGACGCAGAAAAACTAATACCCAATTACCAACTGAGAATTAACACCAACGAACCAACAACGCAAAAAATAGAAATGCCATAGAAAAACTGAAAGCACGCAAAGCAGCCGGCCCTGACAATATTTCATCACCAGAGTATGTTAAAAGCTTGCCCAGGTACAGTGGCAGAGCTAATCAACCACTCTTGAAAAGGGCTTGGAGAGAGGAAAAGTTCCCCAAAGAATGGAAAACGGGATTAATAATAAAGATACCAAAAAAGGTGACGAAGATATTGCGAAAACTGGAGAGAATCACACTTCTGAATACTATAAATAAATTAACAGCAATAATTATAAACAACCGACTAACAAACAGTATAGAACCAATGTTGAGGAAGGAACAAGTCGGTTTCAGACCAAACAGATCATGCGTGGACCAAATTAAACACATAGAATAATGTGTAGAAACAGTCACAGGAATTCAACTCTTCTCTTTTGTATGCTTTTGTGACTTCAAGAGAGCTTTTGAACACGCTCACACATACGGCCCATATGGAAAGCACTGCAGGAAATAGGAATACCAGAAAAAAAAGTAAATCTCATCAAAGAATTCTACAGTGACACAGAAAGCAAAATCTACACAACAGGCATAACATCTGACCCAATAGCTATGCTAAACGGAGTAAAGCAGGACTGTGTTTTTATCCCCCATACTATTTAACATTGTACTCAACTCCCGTACTAACAAAGGTAAACCAAAGGAATTTACTGGGGATTAACAACAGACTGGAAGACCTTGATTACGCGATGATATATATGCCTCCTAGCACATACAAAACAGACATGCAACTCCAAGTTAAAACAAGTACATAGAAGAATCAAAGAAAGTTGGTCTAAGAATAAACATCAACAAAACCAAAGAAATGCATTTGGTACCAAAACAACCAACCTATTATGACCAACGACCAAAAATTGAGAGACTAGCGAGTAAGGCGAAGAAAATGAGTTGGCTGGGCCACACACCCGTAGACCGCCAAATGACATTGCCAGGACAGCGCTGGATTAGAATCCCCAAGCCGACGGACAAAGTAGGCAGACCTAAGGAACTTGGAGAAGGACAGTACTGGACGAAGGGAGAAAAATGGGAAAATCCTGGCTTGAAAATCAAATCAAACCAGGAGGCCAAAGGCCCTCTTGGGATCTTGGGACTATATATATATATATATATATATTATATATATATATATATATATATATATATATATATTATATATACACCTTTTTGTTGTTTGAATATATTCCTCAGGACTAACGATTATCTCACTCTTTCTGATTTCCTTCTAAATATTTCGAAAAACGCAATTAGGTGATAGAAAGTTAGAACCTGCCATTGGAAAAATAAGCTAAAGCTCGTTAAAATGATTTGGCGCATTTAGCAACCATCTTCGCCAGCATGCCAAGTAAAATTGTGTTTTCATTTTAACCCCCACACCCATTACTAAAAAGTACGAACAGCCCTGTATGGGGTCTTATCTATAGCACATAATAAATCAAATAAACAGTATGGTATTACATCTGAACATTTTTCAAACACCTTCTTAGTCCATATGTAGGAAGTTATGTTTTCCTTAATAAGTTTGAATTTCGAAGACCCTTTTACAACACAAAAATTAAGGTATAATTTTCGACTATAAGTGGATTGATCTGAAAGTTTCGGTAGCGTCTGATTTTTTTTGACAATCAAGCTCAAAATAAACAAGTTATCTTTGACCCTCTTAATAATTTCATAAAATGCTGTATATTTTAACTTGTGTACTCGCTTAGTTGTTATGAGAGTAGCTTTTTGCTCTATATCATTACATACTTTTATTTACTCGGTAAGTGACAAGCAAGTTGATTCTGTCTTAAAAATATATCTAAAGTATAGCTCTTTTACTTCAACAGTTTTGTCATGAACAGCTCTTATGTACATTCACCAAAGTCTGTATATTAAATTCAGCTGAGAGGTACTTTCGGCCCATCTTATTTGTGCAATAACGTGTTTTGCTTCAGTTCAAGTTCAAAAATTGCATAACATTAGCTTTTTTGGCTGTAAAACTGGTGAGAAGTTCTGTCTCCTCCTCTTCCCTCTTTTGGTAATTAGGAAAATTTGGCACCAGTAGGAAAGTCCATTTGGGCTAAGCGATTCACCTTTAAAACCTGGATACATTTAAGGTTTCCAAAAATAATATAGTATATCAAATTGGGACCTTTTTTATTGTTTCGTGTAAAATATTTCGCTCTAGCTTGTTGTAAATCCGACAAGCGAGAGCTGGCGGGTGACCTGCTCGAAAATAGAAGAGGATTATTCTAAGAGATAGGAAGTACTTAATCGCGATTATACGTATATAGTATAGGTACTTAAACGGTTATACACGATGTACACGATGTATATGACTTAAACGGTGAACACTTTTTAATTTCTTCTACGCGCAACCCGCCAGCTCTCGCTTGTCGGGTTATACTGTATTAATATTCTTTTTAGGACGCCTTCTTTGGATTTTGCATAGTCAAATATTTAGGATAAATTTATCTTGCGATATTTTACCTGTGGTGCATAAAACTTTAAGTGTCTAACATCCTGGGCTAATATTGTTCTGCATAATAGTGCGCCACCATGGTGGTTGCATGTCGTGAAGTTCAGGAAGCCTTTTGCCGCACATCTAAAAAAAACAAAAGACATTGGTTAGATTTAGCTATTGTCTATTTTTTATCTCAAGTTTAAGTAAGGTTAAATACCTGCATTTCTTGACTCACTTTCCTTCCATTTTTTCGGTGTCTTCACTCGGTTAATTGCATTTTCAGCAGTGCTTTTGTTTACGGGTCGTGCACTTACATCCAATATTTTTGTATTTTATTACTTTAAATATGGAAAAAAAACGACATTAACTTAACAAGGTACTTATCTTGTGTCTAACTAATTAATAATAAACTAAGCCGAAAGGCGAACACTGCCGCTAACAAACACCCTAGATGGCGCGTGACCGTAATCCTCAAGGGCTAAAAGGGAGAAAGTGAGTTCTGCAAATTAATAGGGCGGAGAATGTTATATTTGGGATAACGACGCGATTTTTATTCATTAAATTGTACAAATGACTATTAGTTTTCTCTCAAGACTTATATCGGTTTAAAAATTTGTGTATTTCAACGTGGAGAACAGGAATCAACTAAAATACATTTTTGACCAAATGTGGAGAATGTGACTTTTGCATCTATACCCTTCTCGGTGGTGGTAATTAAAGTTTTATCCTTTTTTGATATATCTACACTTTTTCTCTTACGGTATAGAGAGATTTTTTGCACTTTCGGGAAAAGTAATATTCGGTAACATCTCGTTAGCATTTCGAAATTCGACATTAAAACAAGTTAATTCAAATAACAGTATAACAATTACAATATTGGGAGATTAGATCAACTATTTAATGTAGAGTGATGAAACTGTATATTATATTCAGAATTTATAGGCTATTACATGAAATTTGTATGAGTCAAAAACGATACGGAGGCTGGTTGATTTAATAATTTTTTTTGTAATTTTAGATGAATTATTGTTATGAAGTAATATAAACTCCATTCCACATCACGTCTTATAAACACGAGTATAATATACCTTTACAACTATTTATTATTTTGCTCTATGATAAAAATAACTGAAAAGCAGGTGGCAGAACAATGCCGTTCTTCTGGCGGGAACACCAGAATAACTGCAACAAGTTTCTTAACAATTAAATATACGTTGCAACGATAACAGACCAAAAATTAATTTTAAGAAAACCAAGTTCATGGTATTTACAAAAGCACAAAACATCAAAGTCAATCTAATACTGGATAATACAAAAATTGAACAAAATATCTTCTTACAAAAAGCTTGGGGCATGAATCACAAAAGATACTGTTTCAACAAAATAAATAAGATTCCGCATTGAAATTGGGCAGTCAACTTTTAACAGAATGAGAAAACTTTTTGGTATTCTTAATATCAATATAAGGCTCCGAATAAGAATGCTTTGATGTTATATTTTCTCCACCGTTTTGTTTGAGGTTAATGACTGGACACTAAAACAATCTATCATTAAAAACCTGGAAGCATTTGAAATGTGCTGTTATCGTCGTAACCGCAAACCATCGCAGAACAAATACACAAGTTCTCGAACAACATAAAAAAATGCAAAGCTTTAAATTTCATAAAAATCAGGAAGTTGGGATACTTGGGGCATATCATAGAGGTGAAAAATATGAACTATTAAAAAATATAATGCAGGATAACAGCAAAGAGAGAAAAATCGTAGGAATACGTAAAATCTAAGGCTATAGTCTGGTTGCAGTTCAATTGGACTATTCAGGCCCGTAATCAAGAAAATTATATCCCAAAATAATTTACAATCTCCAAAAGAAGCGTAACTTAAAGAAGAAGGTGGATTCTAATGTTGGACTAAGCATGGTGTATATTAGGGTCTAAGATATCGCTCTCAAACCAACTTATTTTTGACAACTTTGATGTGTCATTTTCATGTAACCGTATTTAAATTGATTAAAACAAGTATTATGCTTCTGGAAATAGAACCATAAAGAATTGGGAATATTCCTAAATAAAAATACGATGAAGATTATGCTCTTCGCGGATAATAAAGTAGTTTAAGTACTTAATTATTACGACGTATAATACATGAGAAGACAAAGAGTATCAAATAGATTTGTCAAGGTGTTAACATAAACAATTTATTACGTGTGCCTGGAGAAGGTGTAATAGAATCTTTGACTTTAAACTGAATCACATATTCGTTAATGCAAAAACTAAAAATTGTAAAACACCACCATTATAATTTTGTATTATATATCTCTATAAGTTTTATCTTAGTATCGCTATTAATCCATTTCACAACAATAATAAAATTCATATCTTCACTTTCTTTAACAATAAACATCAAGATCGCAATATCATGGTTACTAGCAAGAGGGGTAAGGTAATAACAAGGATTCAGATTAAAAGGAAAATATTGAACAGATGGACAAAATGAAGTACTTAAGACCTGGATTACATTACCAAAGATCTAAACAAAAAATCAGAAATTCGATAAGAATATAGAAATCGGGAGCAGCCTTTTTGACGTGAGGAAATTTCTGAGTCACCAAAGACCGATGAGAAAATCATATATTGAATGGTAAAATGTTATATCAACTTTATACTTCTTTATTGTGCCGAAACTTGAACTGTTAATGTTGGCTTAATCAGAAAACTGGGAGCATGTGGATTTTTAGAACAATTTTGAAAATACCATTCACCGATCATACAAAGACAAAAAACTTTTGACCACCATTAAAAGAAGAAAGACAGTATATTTGAGACACATACTTAGAAGAGAAGTACAAGTTGTTGCAGCTAAATATAAAGGGTAAAATCAAAGGAAAAAAGGATCCTGGTAGACGGCAAACATCTTGGCTAAAGAAAATTCGCGACTAGACCGGGTTGAATACAAAAACGCTTTTAAGCAAAGCAGCAGATAAAGAAGAATTTGCAATGGTTATAGTCAACAGTTTTAGGGAGTCGGCACTTGAAGAAGAATATATTTAGCTTTATTCTGTCATGTATTAGTTCTATCTTGCACTATTAGCTGTTTTTTATACTATTTTTTATATTTGAAGATAACTGCCTCTAGAGTTTTCTCTAGATTTACTGCTATTCATTCTTCTATGGTATATAGTGTCGTCTGTAGATTTCTTACAGCTTTATCCAGGTGTTGGAGTTTTGCCGCGATTGCCTTGTCATCTGCATAATGCTGAGTGGCGTTCCGGGTAGTATTAGGGATATCTGCTATACATGTGCTGTGATATTCCAGCTTTCCAGGGCTTCGTATTTAGATAGAACTTCTATCCAAACCTTGAATCTCCAGATATGAGTCTCGTCATGGCCCCGCGGTGTCCACAATCCCTTATTTTATGGTAATCCCTCATACCACACTCTATCGAAAGCTCTACTTACATATGGGAAGGCTACTCCTGTATATTGCTTGTGGTTAAATCCAGCTGTTTTGTACCCTGTAAGTCTAAGTACTTGTAATTACGGCCCTATAAACAACAATGGTATTTTTAATAATGACTGCATTTGACCAAACATGTGATGTGACTTGGCCAAATTAAAATTTTAAGATTTTTCTGGCCACATTGGCTCTGGTGAATTCATGGTATGCATTAGTTGTCCAATGTTGAGGTTTTACAAAAGCTCTGTCTACAGGTAGAAACAGAATGAAGTAGGGTTTAAGGGATATATTAAATCTCTACTAATATACACAGATTTCTAATTCAAAGAAATAATCAATCCTGGAGGCATATCACTGTCACCTATATCATAGACTTATTTGGACAACATCATTAAGAAGAAAAACTTACAGTACATTTTAAATTAAAGCATTTAAATAATGTTATTAGGTATAGCTTACTAATTTGTTCTTTAATAATCAACAAGGCGCCACGTCCACTAATCGTAAATTTTCCAAACGGACACAAACAGAATTCTGGCGTATTTTCAAAATTACGAAGTCATTAATAAAGGTCAACTCTTTCTGTGGGAAAATTATGCCAGCTTTATTCTATACACTTCTAGTTGCGGTTAAATTGTATAAGCGAAATGGAAAATATAGTAATATTATATTAAAATGATACGACATATTTTATATACTACTTCGTAGTTGCATTTAAATTTTGCAAAGCGACATATAAAATATAGTAATAACAGAGTAAAACATTACACATTTTTTTGTTGCAGCTGGTATTTTCGAAAATATCCAACTTCATCAAAGTGCGTTTACATACTCCAATAATCTGTATAACTATGAAAAAGATCTTAAGGATGCACCAGTCTCCCATATAGTGGATTCTAGTATATTGAAGGATGATCCATTTACAGCGCTTAGGGGAACTTGTTTATTTTTAAAACAAGGAATAGTCGGGTAAGTTTACTGAAAATGTGACAATATATTGAATCAATATTAATATAATCTTATTTACTATCTTTAACGAAAATTAAGAACAGTTGTTTTTAAATACTTTTTTTTTAATTAACCACGTGTACAAAAAAAACTACTAATTTTTTTTATTAAGTTAACGCCTCGACAACTATGATCATTGGCATGGTACAGTCAGGTACCTAGTATAAGTGTGTGTGTGTCTGTGTGTGTGTGTGTAGAGTAATTGTCTTGATACTTAGCAAAGTCGACGTCATTGTCTTTGCTAAGAGACGCTAATTGTATCCGAACGTCTGCGGTCCCTCCGGTGAGTACCCATCGCACATGGATAGACATTATTTTCATTCATTAATTTTTAACAAACGAAAATTTCTCCACCCAGATGGGATTCGAACTCACGACCTTTAATTTTAAAGGTAGGCGCTCTTACCACTGAGCCACAGAGGGGGTAAAACTACTAATTTAATTACAGCCATATAACATAAATGTATACGTAAGGATTTTATCAGAATAAAAAAAAAACAGAACAACATAGAACGGGATCCTATAACATTCACAACAAGCGATTTGGGGAAAATAAAAAATGCACACATAAAAGGATTATCAAAAACAGTTGGGATAGGATTAAATTTAATAGTTCAACAACATTTAAAAAAACACATTGAGATCTATTTTATGTCAAACTAAAGCTTACAATGAACAGAAAATATTACAGGATAGTATTTATAAATTAGCTTGTAAATGCGAAAACTTATGTTAACCTTCATAAACCAGTGGCCAAAAATTTACATTAACACTGCGGTGGCCCCTCATTTGAATACAAATTGATGGGTTTTACCATACCCGATATATATATATATATATATATATATATATATATATATATATATATATATATATATATATATATATATATATAGAATATAAATGTATATTTTTGTATATTTTAAAATATTAGCTTTACCTTTATTAATTAACTATCTTCTTATAAATACGTATATGTGAATATGATATTAAATAATACATTATTTAAATATTTTTTTACATTTCTTCACAGCCTGGATTTGTCAAATCCAGGTCAGTCAAATCCAGAATCATCATCATCCAGCCGAATTTTCACATCCATTGTTGGATATAGGCCTCCTCCAAACGTCTCCAGTTCTCTCTATCTCTAGCTGCTGCCATCCAGTTTGTTTCTATTCTCTTTAGGTCGTCGGTCCATCGGGTGGGTGGTCTGCCTCGACTTCGCTTGTCGGCTCTTGGTCTCCACTCCAATAATCTCTTTGTCCATCTTCCGTCTTCCATTCTAGCAACATGTCCAGCCCACCTCCACTTTTGTTTATTGATTCGCAGTATATATCGTCTACGCCAGTTCGTCGGCGTATCTCCTCATTTCTTACGCGATCTTTCAAGGTCAGGCCCAGCATTGATCTCTCCATTCGCCTTTGTGTTACCCTCAGTTTTTCGGCAGTAGCTTTTGTTAAAGTTAAGGTCTCTGCTCCGTAGGTCAAGACTGATAAGATGCATTGGTTAAATGCCTTCCTTTTCAGGTGAATTGGGATATTTGTTTTAAAAATGTCTCTCATCCGTCCATATGCCGCCCATCCCAACGTGATTCGTCTATTTAGCTCGCAGGTTTGGTTGTCTCTGGTTATTCTAATTTCATGACCCAAGTATGTGTATTTATCGATTAATTCTACCTTGTTGTTATTGATCTGTATCTCTTCGCTGGGAACCATATTGGTCATCATTTTGGTTTTCTCAAATTTATCTCCAGCCCAGTTTCTTGTAGTATGTCATTCAGTTCTTGGAGCATGTCTTTGATATCTCCCAGATTATCTGACAGAAGCACGATATCGTCCGCGAAGCGTAGATGGTTTAATCTTTCTCCATCGATTGATATTCCTTTCTGTTGCCATGTTAGTCTTTTAAATGCATACTCAAGAACGGTAATGAACAGCTTTGGTGACATGGTATCACCTTGCCTGACTCCCCTTTTTATCTTTATTTTATTAGTTGCAGAATATAGACTTATGGTTGTTGTGGCATTTTCATATATATTTTTAATTATATTACACAAATCCAGAATATCTAGCCACAAATACAATAAAACAACAATAAACCCACAATGGAACATGGACGAAATACACAATGCAGAGAAACAACAAAACTATAGAGAACAACTTGAACAAACCTTGAACTCTGAAAGAGAATACAATGATATAGAACAGCTATGGGAAGCGACTGCCGAAATAATAACCAAGACAGCGGACAAGATCTCTGGAAGGAGTAGGCAGAAGAGGGCAAAAACATGTTATGACGAGGAATGTCGGAAACAGCTGGAACAAAGACAAACAGTAAGGAAGACTTGGATACAACTGCAAACAGACCAAAGTAAAAATGAATATGACGACTGCCGAAAAGAAACAAGAAAAATAATACGCACAGAGAAAAGAAACTATGAACAACAAAAATATAAAGCTTATGGAGAGAGACCGGCCCAAACCAGGCTCCAGAAAATTCTATAAAGCAATTTCCTCTGAGAAAAACAGACATAAAACCAATTCCATCCATACACTGAGAGACAATTAAGGCCGTATGATAATCGACGGTAAAGAAGTAACTGAAGAATGGAAAAAGTATTTTAGGGACCTTCTAAACATCATACAGGAAGAACAGCACGAAGAATAGATCTATATCACAGCGGACATTCCGTTAAAAATCCCTCTTTTGAAGAAACCCAAAAGGCCTTAAATAAGCTGAAAAATCACAAAGCGCCCGGCACGGACGAGATACCAGCAGAACTTCTGAAATATGGGGAGACGCACTACATCGCCAAATCCACCAGCTAATAACGCAGACATGGTTAGAAGAAAGAATACCAGCACGATTAAAGGAAAACATAATAGTGCCCATCCACAAAAAAGGAGACAAAACAAAATACGCGAATTATAGAGGAATATATAAAACACTCTCAAATATCATTCTTAATAGACTAATCCCTTATGCTGAAAATGTCCTAGGCGAATATCAAGTCGGGTTTAGGGCAAACAGATCAACAATAGATCAACTATTCACGCTGAGACAATTTCTAGAAAACGGATGGGAGTATAACAGACCCATACACAATCTTTCCATAGATTTTTGACAGGCATATGATAGCGTAGAAAGAAGCCAAGTATGGAATGCCATGGCGGAGTTCTTAATACCCAAGAAACTCATTCGGATGACCAAAGTCTGTATGGAGGGTGGAATATCTAAAGTACGTGTAAATAATAAACTGTCTGGCAGCTTTGAAATCAACAGTGGACTTAAACAGGGTGATGCGTTATCTCCACTACTTTTTAACCTTGTATTAGAGAAAGCCATGAGATCGTCCGAAATAAAACATAATTGCTATCGGTTCAAGGTCCCAAGCTGTTACTCGCATATGCAGATGACATATATTCGTTGGAGACTCCATCCTATCCACGAAAGACATTTTCAACAAGGTGGAGGAGCAACAAGTTAAGTATGTTGTCTATTGACGAGAAAATTGGGGTTCAATTCACACCAAGGATAAAATTTTTGTTTTATCAATAAAAAAATAATAGAAAATATGATACATATTAGGTAACAAATTTTCGAAAAACTCATTATTTACAATTTATTTTTATTCCAATGTTATAAAACGGAAATACAAAATAATTCAAATTCAATTCATACAGTCTTCAGTTGTGAATGCAAAATAATCCGGTGAAGACTGTTTATATCAAATCCATCACTAAATTCTCATGGTTAATATCAATTCCTCTGTACAGGTAATGATTTTCAAAACAATTGGAATGGATGCGCGCGAAGCGAAGCCTTTAAGCCATCAAATAATAACATATCGAGAAGTGTTTTTGCACGGTAAACAGAAAATTTTTATTGAAAAAAAAACAATTCGTGAAAATGGTTTTAACGGTCGAGGAAAAAGTGCAAATTGTTGTCTGGCATGTGAATGGATTCTCAGACAACATGATTAGAAACAATTTGTAAATATGTTTCCAAATAGGCCGGCTCCATTACGATCAACAATTTAATCTATTATACGTAATTTTTTTACTTATGGATCCGTGTTCGCTCCAAGAGTTCGTAGACGAAGGGAGGTAAATCCAGATTTGGAACTAAGGGACACTTTGATTTGTACAAGTATTAAGCAAAATCCTATCCAATCAACATCTCGTCTCGGAGAACAATATGGAATTTCAAGATTTATAGTTGATAAAATTTTGAAAAGACATGGATACCGACCCTATAAACTTCATAAATCCAATGAAAAATTCCCTGAGGATCAATATAGACGTTTAGAATTTTGTCAAACTGCAATGGAAATGTCACATCAAGATGAACATTTTTTAGAGAACGTCTTGTTCACCGATGAATGTACGTTTTCATTGCATGGCCGTCACAATTCAATTAATGCTCGGTATTTGTCCCGAGGAAATCCTCGTCAGATTTATGTCGCTCGTACCCAGCGTCCTCAAAAAGTAAATGTTTGGGGAGGCATAATAGGGAGTCATGTCATTGGTCCATTTTTTATAGACGGTATGTTGACTGGCGGAAATACTTAGAACTTCTGCAAAATCAAATTGTCCCAGCCCTTCGTAATTTACCAATTCCTTTCGATTCCATATGATTTCAACACGATGGTTGTCCTGCACATAATTCTCGCATCGTCAGTGAATATCTCAGTGCGACTTTTCCTAATCGATTGATTAGTGGACACGGAGATATTTTTTGGCCTGCAAGATCACTGATCTTGCTCCTTGTGATTTTTTTATGTGGGGATATATCAAGTCCAAACTATATGGAATTGAAGACGATAGGCCTAATTCTCTCCAAGAATTAAGAGAAAAGATCTCTGATTCAATGAGAGGTATTAGTCCAGAAACATTAACTAATGTTAGACGAAACTTTTATAATAGATTGGGTTATTATTCTGCTACTAATGGAGGCTTATTTGAACATTTTTTGTAAATACATTTCATTAGAATAAAATACGTTTATTTAGAATATTTTTATAGAATTTCTGCTTATTTAAACATTTTTTGTAAGTACATTTATTTAGAACGTTCTTTTATGTTTGAAGAATTTTTACTTTATTTTTCGAAAGTACGACAGTGTTTTTTCAATAAGATTTTCATGTTTTACTATAGACACTTCTAATAAAGACTGAAATAAATGTTTTATAATTTAAAGCAAAACGATATAATATCTGCATAATTTCAAATTTTTAAAAAAGTAAAAACTTCGTGTAGGATTTGAACCCTAACCGCCTGCATGAGTACATCGTTGCCTTGAACCCTGATCCATCAGACTTTTATAACTCTTTAGTGACAGTTTGGGTTATTATTCTGCTGCTAATGAAGGCTTATTTGAACATATTGTAGATACGTTTATTTACAATATTTTTTTATTTTTGTAAAATTTTTACTTTATTTTCGAAAGTACGACGACACTATTTTTTCAATAAGATATTTATGTTTAACTTTAAACACTTCAAATACTAGTAACGACTGACATAAATGTGTAGTGATTCAAAGCAAAACGATCTCTGCATAATTTCAAATTATTAAAAAAAAAGAAAAAAGAAAACCTCATCTAGGTTTTGAACTCTAATGATCTGCGTCGCAGAGTCGAATTCTTACCACTAATCCACGAAGGATTGCTAATTCTGTGACAAGAGTGCATGAAACTCCTCAAATCATAGTAGAAATTATTCTTGGTTAATAATTGAAAACTTTAGAATAAGTAATCACTATTAATTAAATTATTTTACTCACATTTTTGCTTTATTGTGGTCAATCAGTTTTTACTTATATCTAAATTTAAAGTGGTGAGTATCAAAGCGGTGTTTAAAGCGGTTTTAAGCGGTTTTAGGCCAGGTAGGTCAACAATTGACCAGATTTTTGTGCTACGTCAAATCTTAGAAAAACCAATGAATTTAATATTGACACGTTCCATCTCTTTGTGGACTTTAAGTCAGCGTATGATAGCGTCCTAAGAGGTAAATTATACGAAGCCATGAATGAACTTAACATTCCCCATAAATTAATAAGGCTCGTAAAAACAACTATGAGTAAAGTGATCTGCAGAGTGCAAATACAAGGCGATATGTCACAAGCGTTTGAAACATATGCAGGGTTACGGCAGGGAGACGCGCTGGCGTGCCTTCTCTTTAATATAGCGTTAGAAAAGACTATAAGAGATGCCGAGTTACACAATAGGGGAACAATCTTTAATAAATCAACGCAGATTATGGCGTACGCTGACGATTTGGATTTGATTGCACGTACTACACGAGGACTTAAAGAGATGACTTCCACCTTCTTGACAGCCGCACAAAATATGGGCCTTAAAATAAACGAGGAAAAAACCAAAATGCTAGCATCTATTCCAAATAACAGAGATAGAGCTAGAAACGCCGAACAAAACTTCAGTATAGACCAATATAATTTTGAGGTAGTAAATAAGTTTACATATTTGGGTTCTCTCATAACAAACGATAATGACACATCTGAAGAAGTTAAACGGAGGGTACTGCTAGCAAACAAATGTTATTTTGGACTAAGCAAGCAGCTAAAAAACAGAAATTTAAGCCAGAAAACCAAACTAATAATATATCGAACACTCATCCTACCAGTGCTGACATATGGGTCAGAAACATGGACCATCTCCAAAACAGACGCAAATCTTCTGCTCGTCTTCGAAAGGAAGATACTAAGAAGAATAATGGGCGCATTCTGTGAGAATGGTATTTGGAGAAGGCGATATAATTTCGAATTGTAACGAGAAGTATAAAAAAAATAGTAAATGGTAGAGATGTAATATCCTTCATAAAAATAGGTAGGCTTAGATGGGCTGGACATGTGTCAAGAGCAAATGAAAATTACCCACCCAACGAACTCTATTATCGGTCCCAGTGGAAATAGGAGTAAGAGCAGACCCCGACTAAGATGGAGGGACGGTGTGGACGAGGACGCAAGGAAAATCGGCGCGGCAAATTGGCAACGGTTGGCGATGAACAGAAACGACTGGCGAAATAGACTGGGAAGGTCAAGGCTCAACTAGAGCTGTAGCACCACTGATGATGATGAAATTAAAAAATGGAAATACGTCACACATACGACTCAAACTGTCAAACATAATAATTATGACCGAAATGATTTAGATCGAAGGTAACGTCTAAATGGTATGAGACTATCGATAGTCGTAATGTAATGTAATGTAAATTATAGGTTTCTATCGATTATTCTCCCACCTTTACGAGTTTCATCTCCTTATATTTCACAAGGTAACGTGTGTTTTTCTATCTCCTACGTTAAAAAGCCGGTGATAAGGCACTCACCACTGTATAACACAGCTCCTCGGTATGCGGTATATCTATCTCCGTCTCTTCGAAGTAATAATCGAAACGTTAAAATAAATATATTTTTACTGAAATCGTGGTCAATTATCATTAAATATAGTAAATAATACTAAATATTTATATATTGTACGATTTATGTATATCATTTAATTTTCTTTAGATTGTTTGGTCCTCAGTCGTCTCTCAACTTTGATATAGTCCAATCGATAACGGAAAGGAACGACATACCACACATTTTAACACGATGGGTCAATCCGTCCCAAATGGGTAGACAAACTATAAACTTTTATCCAAGTCCTCCGATTTTAGCCAATGGGTTTATGGATATCATCAGAAAACTTGAATGGGAAAGCTTTACCCTTCTTCATACTGATTCGGAACATTTGATGCAAAATAAAGACTTGATTGAAAAAGCAAAGGATGAAGGTATCATTGTTTATATTGAAAATGTTGAAAATATGGATCCTAACAAAAAGGGAGATTACAAGTAAGTTTCTTAAACCTATTTAAAATAGTTATATAATAATATGGTAAATAGATTTTGTATTTTAAGCAAAAATTTTCATTCATAAAGTTAAACATATCCTGGGGGTCAGATAGATACCACTTCTTGTGGTACCCACAATATGAATCCCACTGTACAATGGTATACACATGTTTTTTCTTGGTTAATTACTTACAAACCTATGCTTGTAGATATTCTGCAGTTTAAAGTTATATCTACGCCTTCATATTCTGTTTCTCACAGACCGCTCCGAACATCTTGCGTAGCACCTTTCTTTCAAAAATGGATAGAGCGGATTCATCTGTTTTAGTTAGCGTCCATTGCTCTGATCCATATATGAGAATGGGGACTGTCAGTGTTCTATACAGCCTTATACGAGTTTTTTGAGACATACTTTTGTTAGCTAAGTACTTTGATAGACCATGATAACACCTGTTTACAATTATTATTCGCCTTTTTATTTCCTCAGATGTGTTATTATTGGGGTTAACCGATGTCCCTATGTTGTTGTTTATTATTTCGTCTTAAATGGCAGACTGTGAGTCTAATGGTGTCTTTTTTCTTAACGTGCTCTATCAACTCCCCTTGAGTGGCGACTAACGTGGCGAAACTGTCTCTGTCTCGAGCTATTCTAAAGAGTTGCTCAGTTTTCTTTATTCCTGTCCACTCTCTGATATTCTTCAACCAAGAGGCCTGCTTTCTACCAATTCCTCTGCGTCCTTCGATTTTACCCATCATAATAAATTGAAGAATATTATATCGGTCTCTCCCCTACTACTAGTCCAAAATAGGCCATCTTCTACATTTGATGTTATCAAGCAGCTCGCGAGCAGCATTTGCTCTCTCAAGGACTGCCACATTTGTCAGCATAGCCGTCCATGGAATTTTTAGTATACGTCTGTGCAGCCATATTTCAAAGGCCTCCAGACGATTAATGGTGGATATTTTTAATGTCCATGCTTCAACACCGTAATAAGAGGACTGACCAAATGTAGCATTTAACCATACGCTTTCGAAGTTGAAGTTTTAAGTTATCATTACAGATCATTATCAAGTTATCATTACTCATTTTTAAAAATGTCGTGCGGGCTATCTCGATTCTACATTTTATCTCTTGATCTGGATCTAGTTGTTTCAGTAATATGGCAACCAAGATATTTAAAACTGGACACTCTTTGAATTATATGACCATCAACATATATAATCGTGCATCTTGTGGTACTAAACGGCTAAACACCATGTGTTTTGTTTTTGAACAGTTTATGTTTAGGCCAAACTTTCTTTCCACTGTATCAATGGCGTTTAAAAGGCATTGTAATCCATTCATGTCATCATCTAAAATAACTGTATCGTCTGCATATCTGATTGTATTTATCAGAATTAATCTAATGGTGTATTCTCTGCTAAATGCTTTTGGAGTTATTTTAAAATATCTTCGTCTACGTCTCCAGGATTATTTACTATTATTTCATTTTTAAGTGCATTAATTGAAATGCGAGATAGACAGTCTGCGTTTGTATTATGTTCACCTTTTTTATAAATAATTTTGTAATCGTATTCTTCTAGACGCCATCGTATCAATTTTGAATTCAGCTCTTTTAGACTGAAAAGCCTAGATAATGATTTGTAATCTGTGTATATATAAAATTTCCTTCCATAAACGTATAAGTCTAGAATGTTTACAGCCCCATACAATTGCTTATTGCTAATTTTTTCAGTATGGTCGAATAGTTTGTCTCTGGGCGTATGCAATGGGTCGACCATTTGGAACATTTCCTTGCGATGATACGGTTCCAATTTTATTTATTTTATTTAATATTTTAGATCAGTTCTTCGAAATGCCGTACGGTCAGGACAAAAGAATTTTGTATTGGACTGCCCAATTCGAGATCTAAGAAATCTCTTAACCCAAATTCAGCAAGTTGGTTTATTAAGTTCAGGTTATCATTTCTTAATGACCAATTTAGATGCTCACACTGAAGATTTAACTTCCTTTATGTACAGTGATGCTATTATTACAGGGGTAAGATTTATTTATGTATTTTTCTAAAACTGCATGTTTTAAAATCTGACGTTCAATCTTTATAATAAGTACAAACAAAAGTGAATCGAAAATTTCGGTTTCAAACAAAAATCTTTTTCCTAAATCTGTGACTACTTTTCGTAACAACAAATGAATGAACTGCAGGAATTTTTTCATCCATAATATCATATTGAACCTTTGAACATCATTCATTGTTTCATTATGAACATCCTTTGATTATTAACTGATATCTATCATAAACAGTATACTAAAGTTAAGATACTTTACGGATAGATGGAAGTATGCTCACGTGATTATGATAGCGAAACCGAAAAAAGACGGCACTTTTCCACAAAACTATAGACATATTACCTTATTACCAATAGTAAGCAAAATAGCAAAAAGAGTCATACTAACTAGACTCAATGAAGAATCACATGCCTTGGGATCTATTTCAGAGGCTCAGTTCGGATTTAGGACCAAACACTCCAGCGAACTGCAAGTTTTAAGGCTAACAGAATTCATCACCAAAGGCTTCAACGAAAAGTTGTACACATCAACGGCGTTTTCTCGACGTGAGTAAAACTTTTGATAGAGTATGACATCAAGGTCTGCTCTATAAAATGAACTACCTAAGCTATAGTGAGGCGATGACATGTCTCCTTACGCCATACCTAGCTAACAGAAGGTCCAGAGTTCGAATAGGACCAACCCTATCCGAGCTCGGAATCCTGGAGGCTGGTGTGTCTCAGGGAGCGGTGCTGTTACCGTACTTATACACTATCTATACAGCTGACACTCCAACAGACCCAGAACATTGGTTAGTCTGTACGCGGACGACACAGCCATAGCAGCTAGCAGTAGAGACCCTAATCTAGCTTCCAGCCACCTGCAAAGCGCTCTAAATAGGTTCCAAAGATGGTGCATAAAGTGGAAAATTGCCCTGCATACCCGATAAAATATAGGCCGTTATGTACAGATACCGAAGAAGTAGACCAGGAGATCAACATAGCAAACACCCTGTAGAATGGACGAACGAGGCAAAATACCTCGAGTCATATTAGACAGAAAGCTCACATTCACTGAGCATCGTATAAGCAATCATCTGCATAGCAGAAGAGCAACTTCGTTTTAAAACAAAAATGAAAGTAGCTAACAGTATAATACTACCCTCACTAACATATGCATCTGCCACATGGGACATACATGCAAGAGTAACAGAAAAAAGATCCTAACAACCCAAAACTGGACGATCAGAGAAGCCCTAAATGTACCTAAATATGTCTCATTAAGATACTTATTAGAGACTCTGGTCAGAAAAGGATACTAAGAATAATGGACGAAAGAGCTTACGACATTTTCAATGGACTCAAAAACCACCCCAACAGGATACTAAGAGAGTTGACAGACTACGATATAAACACAAGAACGGTGCACAGGCGGCCAAACAACAACTTACTGGATATAGGGAAGAAGAATAGATGAAGAAATGACATAGCCACAGAGTAGCTAAAAGAAATATTTAGACAGCGAGCACAAAAAAAAATGAGCAGAATTGCTGCAACCAATCAAGAGGTCGGTTGGATGAGTTTGGATGGTTGTAGCAATTCAGTCGCAGTCTGGCGAGACTAAAACAAAAGTATATAAGAACAATATACACCGGGATGTGTGAGGGCAATATACACCTGGGAATGCACACCCCAACACACGCATACTTTAGTAATAGTTTAGATTAGACAAAACAACAAAACCCAAAAAAACATATACACGCGGTGTGTGCGAGCAGTATACACTTGGGAATGCACACCGCATAGTTAAGGTAGATTTAGTAGTATTTTAACCAAAAAAATCAAAAAACCCCCGCTTACTGTCTAAATTAAAACCAAAGCCTAGCGAACCATGAACATAAAGTGAATAATGTTTTCTAACATATATAAATAATATATAGATATAAAAGATCTGTCAGACCTTTTATAACCAGCTGCATAGGCATAGGCCCCTCAGGCAGATTGTTTGTAGAGAGTCATCAACCCAGGCTGGTGGCTCTCTGTTCGAAACACACGTTTTTTTCTTTTTCTTTAGGGATACCCTAAAGGTATGTGTGCTACCCCTACAGTTTAGGTGGCCTAACCACAGTCATTAAAAACAGAAGGTGTCTCATTACCCAGGGCACCTTTACCCAGGGTAACTTTCAGATCATAAGCCTCCTGACGTAAGTCACACGATGAGGAGGGGTGGAGAAAAAGCCTGGGGGTCATATAGGTACCACTTCAATAGCGAAGTGTGACCGGTTTGATCTTCGGACATGTGGATCCCACTTTACAATGGTATAGACATGTAATTTTGTCTATTTATATTGTCTATAATGTTTAATATTTGTCGCTAGGTTATAATATATAATTGGTGTAGTATTCTAATAATCCCAAGTATTTCAAAATTTAATTACGATTATACAAAATATAGTCTATATAATTATAAAAAATTAACTTTTGAAAGATTTTAAAACTTTAATAATATATCAAAGGGGATGATCCCTCTTCCCCTGATATCGAAAATATTGAACCACTAAGAACTCTGCTTTCGAGAATGTACAAAAAGACTTTAAAATACAAAGATTGCAACAGTACCAACAAAGTATCCAACAGATGGATTTGGTTTTAACACTGAAAGATTATAATTAGTAGCCACAATTTTGATTTTAATTATGTTTCCTACGTAACAAGTAATAAGTACCTCATTTTGGAAAAAAATGTAAATCGAAATTTCAGTAAAAATAAATTCCTAGCTACATTTTAAGAAAAGACGTACATTAAAATTTAATTTTAGGTTCATCTCACCAAACCAAATGATGAAATGTCTGCAAGAGCTTCAATGGAATTGTGTCACCTCTACAACGTTACTTTTAAACTGGAATGTGGAACTCCGGAATTAGATATAGAAACTGCTTTGATCCTAGATTCAGTTAGCGTCTTTTTGAAGACTCTAAAAGCTTTAGAGGTAACACAAGGTCAATACCTGTCATGTGATAACACAGATGGTTGGATATACGGTTTAAATATAATTAACACACTTCAAACGGTACGTATGGAAATTAGATATAAATAAAAGGTCCAATGGAAAAACGATGAGGATTAATTTTTTAAAAACTTAAGAAAAACGAAATTAACTACTTGTTAAATAACTAATTAAATAGTTTTCATTTTGATGATAAAACGAAGTAAACGTTTATTAACATTATAGTGTTATCATAGATACTTTGCCAACAATATAGAATACCAATTCAGTATCTTATGTGCTGTACATTTTTTCCCAGGCAACTGAAGGCATCCCCTTCTTCTTCTTTGTTGTGGTATGTAATTTAAAGCTTTCTTTGGCCATCTATCTTCATTTATTTGCTTCACGTGACCATACCACACTAGTTGTCTCGTTTCAATTCTGTCTACACTGGAATATACAGTATTTGTCCTCCTTCTAATATCTTTATTCTGATATGATATTTTTTGGATACACCACACGCTTTCCTTAGAAAATCCATTTCTACTACTTCTATTCTTTTTCCCTCTTTTTTCGTAATCTGCCAAACTTCTTCCACATAAGTCATAATACTCTCCACCAAGGCTCGATAGAGTGTCAATTTGTTTCTTGTCTAATATCTTTAAACCGTAGTAAAGAGTTAAGACTGTTTATTGCTTTTTTTCCTGCTGCGTTCTATTTTCGATGTCTCTTTTGGTAGTGCCTTCTTTATATGTTATAGATCCGAGATATTTATATTAATTGCATCTTTTTGTGTTTCTAATTTCTAACTCAGGATCTTCTTCATTATCTCCTATTTAAAGATATTCTGTCTTTGACATATTCATATTAAGGCCCATTTTTCATATTCTTTCTTTAGTTTTCTTAACATGTAGTCCATGTCTTCCTCATCATTCGCTACGACTACCTGATCATCTGCAAAAATAAAGTCGTTAGATATTTAATACCGCTTATGTCTATTCCCATTCCGCATACTTGTCTTCTCCACTGCTCTAGCGATAATTGAATATATAATTAAATATATAAGGTCGAAGATAAAAACATCCTTGTTTAAGCCCCTTTGTTATTGGAAATGATTCAGATATGAAGTTTCCTTGTTCAACGACACTTCTTGCATTTTTGTACATATTTGCGATAGCATTCCATATCTCTACTGAGACCTACCTTCGTCAATGTTTAAAACAATTTTTTGAAAGATACCGTACCGTATGCCTTCTCTAAATCTACAAATAATAGGTGGGTAGATAGATTCCTTGCCTTCCGTTTTTCGATTCTCTGCTGCAGAACGAATATACCATCAGTGCACGATCTTCCTGCATGAAATCCATTTTGTTCTTCTATGTCTTCGTATTCTGATTCTATTCTTTCTTTTATTATTCGATCGTACAACCTTCCTACTGAACTGATAACAGTTATTCCCCTATAATTAGATCATCTCAATTGGTATATCTCCAGGTCCTGCTACTTTACCCTTTTTCGATCTTTTGAGGGCATCGCTTAACTCTCGGTTGTTATTTCAATTATTTGTGTATATTCGAAATGTTTTTTCATTTCGATATAATGGAATTTACATCTATCCTCTGTGTTATTCAGTAAGACCTCATAATGGTGTTTCCACTATTTCAGATCTATTTACTGTAAGTTAGATTTTTCCTTTCCTTCCCTCCAGAGAGGCTTTATCACCTTCCATGCTTGCCCAACTCTTGTTCCACCCATATACCTATCCACCTCTGAACATCTTCGATGCCACATCTCATTTTTACTTTTCTGCTACTTCTCTTTTTACATCTCGATTTAATTTTTTATATATTTTGTAATCTCCCTCCTTTCTCGTTGACATCCATTTCTGATAAGCAGTTTTCTGCTTGTTTACTAACGCTTGCATGTTCTCCGACCACCGTTCTTGATTTTTTGTTTCATGTTTGTCCTTATAACCCAATGCTTTACTTTGAGCAGCCTCATGAATGCATTTTTAAGTTGCTGGTATAATTCTTTCGCTGATATATTTTCTTGATTCACATTTTGTAATTTTGTGGCTAGTCGTAATTTGTAAAGAACTTTCGTTGAATCTTCTTTTAAGCGTTTCTAGGTTACTTCTTGTCCTCTTTTGCCTTTTCTATATTCTGTACCTGAGTGTTATTGTTTTTGCGATAGTTAACTATCACGTTGGCCATAAGTAAACGATTAAAATATGTTTAAAAAAATATAATTTAAGTAAAACTTTCACGCATATACTTATAGTAAAAATTTCCCTAAAGGTCACTCACCATTGTCCTCATAATCATACTAAACATCATCGTAACTTTCCGGGAAAACTGTATCAGTAAGTAAATTATGATGAAACCTATTGGCATTTTCGTTGATAAAAATTTAATATCAGCTGTTGCAGGTCACTATTCCTGAATAATAAATAAGAAGACGAAATCGTAGAAGTAACGAAGGTTTTTAGTTGGTAGGGGGTTTGCCTTATTTGCATCAGTCATACATGAGGCTGTTTTGGTAAAGATTGTTCTGAGTCTACTTCAATGTTTATCTTTGTTCATCTTGTGTTCAATGTCTACCTTTTTCATCTTTATTCATCTTTGGAACTTTGATCCATAAAAGTCAATGACCGGTGTAAATATTAGACTCTCCTAGCCATGATTTCGTGAACGGCTATAAATGTCTTGTAACAGACAGAAATGTCCTAGAAGTGTTTTCAATTTTTACACTGATTTTAAACGAGTATATGGCATTATATTTACTCGCATCAGAGGTAAGGTCCCGCCTTTTTACGAGAAACACAGTAATAAGTGTTATTAGATAGCTATCATGGACATCCATTGTACATATCTCAGCGATTAGACGTCTTCTTTCGGTTTTAACAATAACATAAAAACATTTCAAACTTTTGCGTACATAGTTGCTACATTTTTCATAAGTTATCAGTCGGACCTTCTTCATATTATCCTTTACCGGTCCATGTATTTTGTTGTTTAATTTTGCTTTCCGATCTCAACTTTCATTACTTCTTCTTTACTTACTTTCCACTTTAACTGTTTAACACTGCCACAATGACGATTTAAAGTGATATACGGTTTGAATGCTTGAATATATGACTTTTAATCAAATGAAAGGCAGTTATCGAGTAAAGTTTTTTATTAAATCTTGTCCAAGTACTTTCGCTCTTAGAGCATCTTCAGGGACCTTTACTTGAAAGATAAATACAATCAAAAACAATTAAAATAAAAGAATTAATAAAAAAAATAGCAAATATGTGATGTTTATGACGTTACAATTTTATTGCGATATATAAACCAGAGTTGACAGTTCAAGTGGTACTAGCAATTAAGTTTTTACTTAGATTTCTTATTTGATTAAATTTTTGTCAGGTATTGTATTTTGTTTGACATGTTCAATCTCATTGGTTGTCCTCTGTAATAATTTTGTATCTCGATACTTTATGTCTTTTTCTTCTTTTTCGTTTTTGTATGTAGGCTTTAAAGCTTGTTCTTCAATATTAGCCTCCTTAATATTATCACACCATCTTTTTCTTGGTCTGCCAATACCTCTGTCATTTAACTAATTTGTTCGTTTTACTCCTTTTCCCCTTTTGTTACCCACTCATTTATGTCTTCTATATTGCATGCTCTTCCCATGTTTTTGCTTCTCTCTCTATCCAACAGACTTTTCCCTGATATTCGTCAAAGAATTTTTATCTCTGTATCTCATGTCTGTTTATCGTGGACGTCTCGTTTTAGATGTGTCAGGTCTTATCTCCGCCATGTATGTTAATATAGGTCTAATTGCTCCTTTACAGATTCTTCTTCTTCTTTTCTTTACTTGCTTTTAAGCTTTGTTGTCGAACTTCTTCTTCATCTGTGTAACTAGTTATATATATTCCCAGATATCTGAACCTTGCTTCCTGCTTTATTATCTTTCACATGGATTTAGATTTTACATCGTAGTGGGTATTTATATGTTGTCATAGATTTGGTTTTTTCTACTGATAGGGGCTATGATGTATCATTATCATATCGTCGACCTAATCTGTAAACTGCGTAACTCCATTTGTCCAAATTTTACAGGAGACACAAAAAACTATCTCCAGCGACGTAAATAAGTTATTTTTGTCCATTTTTTTTGTACTGGTTCTAGATTGTTTCTTTTTTATAACTGTTAGTCAAATTATAGTATATTTTATATATTTTTTATTTTTTTTGGAGATACACAGGTTTCTTAGTAATGAACTTGAAGATACGAATTTTTAATTTAATTAAGAGTACATACCGAAAATAAGAAAGTTTACTGCAAAATTCAAAATGTAAATAATAATAATAGTTTCATTAGTAAATGTTAAATTCAAAACCAACAAGTTGGTTTACTGGTTCTAGTTGACACCATCGTGTGGAAAAGAAATGCAAACAATGTCTGAAAAATTAGGTTTATTTGAGAAATAAAAAGGATCAAAATTAACATTATAAACTAAAATAAATTTAGTATATTTGTGCGGTAGCTCATCATAAAATGAGTGATAGTCACGCAGAAAACTTTTTTGAATGTCTGAACTTGTAAAAAATTTCATCTCTTGTGTATTTTCTAGCGTTTTATTTTTAGATTTCTGTAATACACCCCTGTTGTTTTTAACAAGAAAGCGATTGTTAATATAGGAAGTTTTACAAATATTTCGACGAGTTAAATGTATGTTGTAAATATTTCAAGTTTTTTTGACGAGGTTTTTAAATGCGCAAAAGCGCTGGAAATATTTTTTATCTCTGTTACAAAGTCAGGTACAACTCCAGTTTAAAAACTACATGCTATTTTGTTAATTTGTATTAATGTTATAACTATTTTAACAAGTTTGTTTATCGCCTAGATGATTATATTTCATGATGCTCCCTAATATAAAAAAGAGGTTTTTATTTGTCTTTCATGGTTAGGAACGAATAACAAGGGGATATTTGTTTGTTTAGGCTTTGCAGACGCAAAGGGGAAATTTTATTTGGCGTCGAATTTGTAAAATTTAACACAGATGGGAGTGGACGAATAGATTTCAAACGGGCAGA